GTGTGTGTGTGTGTGAGAGAGAGAGTGTGTGTGTGTGAGAGAGAGAGAGTGTGTGTGTGTGTAATATAAAATACATTTTTGCAAATAAATATATAATATATACAATATATTTTACTAACTAATATAATATGTAAACAGTAACACAAAAATAAATAACAAATTAATATAACATAATATAAGGTCTATGGTTTAACATTTGAAAGACATAAATAAATATTAGTATTGTCATTTTACTGCTGGTCTTTAAAAGTATTATTATCACCATTATTAATTATATTATTTATAAATACCTTTTGAATATGAAACATTCATGATTGCATATTTGTATATATGAAACATTCATGATTGCATATTTGTATATATGAAACATTCATGATTGCATATTTGTATATATGAAACATTCATGATTGCATATTTGTATATATGAAACATTCATGACTGTATTTATTTTTTTCCTGATTGTATTTGGCATTCACTCATTTTTCTCTCTTTTTCTCTGTAAGCATCTGGTGTGGATTCTGGGTCTGAAACCAGCTGTTGGTGGAGTTCTGAAACCCGGGAGGGCTGTGGAGGGTCCGAGCACGGTAAAAACCACTCATATCAGCCCTTGTTTAAAGCCTAGTGAGCTGCCTACCTAGAAAGCATTTTGAGCATCACAGGCACTTTCTGAGACTGCAGCGTTTGTGTGCGCCATAGGCAAGCTGCTAGACAACAGGGTTTATTTGAGGGGCCTAATCAAGGACTGTATTAAGTCAGCAGCATTTTTAGGCATCATAGATGTTTTCCAAGTCACCAGCATTCTTGTCTAGTAGGAAACACTGTTTACCTGAAGATATTGCTCACTAATGCTCAAAAAAAAAATTTTTTTTAGGTGACTTGAAACAAGTCAACTTTCTAGGACTCCTCATAAATGTTTGCATTTGTGCATTTAGGAGACGCTTTTATCCAAAGTGACTTACAAAAGGGGATCAAAACCAATATGTGAGCCTGGAGCACAAAAGCAGTCTTAAGTCGCTGGGGTATATTTGTAGCAATAGCCAACAATACATTGTATGGGTAAAAATTATAATTTTTTCTTTTCTGCCAAAAATCATTAGGATATTAAGTAAAGATCATGTTCCATGAAGATATTTTGTAAATTTTCTACCGTAAATATATCAAAACTTAATTTTTGATTAGTTATATGCATTGCTAAGAACTTCATTTGGACAACTTTAAAGGAGATTTTCTCAATATTTAGATTTTTTTTTTGCACCCTCAGATTCCAGATTTTCAAATATTGTCCGATCCTAACAAACCATGCATCAATGGAAAGCTCATGTATTCAGCTTTCGGATGATGCATAAATCTCAATTTCATAAAATTGACCCTTATGACTGGTTTTGTGCTCCAGGGTCACATATTCATAATATACAATACTCTGTTTATTAGACCGCTCGATTAGGAAGCAAGTTAGAGAAGAGGATACTAAATGTTAATGACATATAATGGTGATTATTTCTTTTCTGTCGCAGGTTTTGACCACAGCGGTGATGACCGATCTACCCGTCATATCAAATATCCTTTCCAGACTCTTTGAAAGCTCACAGTAAGAGTCCGCCAACATCAGAATAGAAATAATTAAGTTTATTTTATTTACTTAGTATCAAATCCATGAGTGTCATTGTTTAGGTAGATTATAACAGTGAACAACAAGTGTTCCTGTAGCTCAGTTGTAGGATTACTCTGTGTGTGGTTGTAGATACCTGGATGACGTGTCTCTGCATCACCTGATAAACGCTCTGTGCTCTTTATCCATGGAGGCCATGGAGATGGCTTACGGAAGCAACAAGGTGCGTTCAGATGCTACGGCTAATCACAGATTCGTTTAATCCAAACGTCATCATCCAGCTGTCATCTTTCTATCGCTCTTGTCTCTGTGGTTAGGAGCCGTCTCTATTCGCAGTGGCCAAACTGTTAGAGACCGGACTGGTTAATATGGACCGGATCGAGATTCTCTGGCGGCCGCTGACGGCTCATTTACTGGAGGTGAGACCAGAGGCCAAATCCACACCAACAATGCAGTTTCTGCATTTTTTGTTTTTGTTTGTTTGTTTGTTTATTCATTTTTCTGGACTGTTTAGTCTTCTTTGTCCATTGGTTTTCTTCTTATTTATTAGTTTATTTATTTATTTAAAGTTGAAGTTGCCTTTGTCCATTTTTGTTTTTAATTAATTAATTAATTAATTTATTTATTTATTAGTTTATATAATTTATTTATTTAAATGTATTT